TATCAAATATATATATTCTAGTGGCTGAAAGAATAAAAGATGGAGTTTATAGGAAAATTACAGTTGAGAAAACAAAAAAAGAATTAAATGTATTTAGCCAATAGCTAAATCATTGTTCATGTTAAAATTTTAGAAAGTGCGGCTATTTCAAAAACTACCCCACAAACCCTTATATTGGTCATGGATCCATGCAAGTGTTTGAACGATGTTATACACTTCTAGTTAACACTAATATGCTTGTACTTCAATGGATATAAATCTTTCCTTCATTACTCGTTATATAAAACAAAAAATATTAAATCGATATGGTTGTTCTACACAGAAGATACAAACTCCATATGGTCGTTCTACACAGAAGATACAAACTCCATATGGTCGTTCTACACAGAAGATACAAACTCTGTATGGTCGTTCTACACAGAAGGTACAAACTCTGTATGGTCGTTCTACACAGAAGGTACAAACTCTGTATGGTCGTTCTACACAGAAGGTACAAACTCTGTATGGTCGTTCTACACAGAAGGTACAAACTCTGTATGGTCGTTCTACACAGAAGGTACAAACTCTGTATGGTCGTTCTACACAGAAGGTACAAACTCTGTATGGTCGTTCTACACAGAAGATACAAACTCTACATGGTCGTTCTACACAGAAGATACAAACTCTACATGGTCGTTCTACACAGAAGATACAAACTCTACATGGTCGTTCTACACAGAAGATACAAACTCCATATGGTCGTTCTACACAGAAGATACAAACTCTATATGGTCGTTCTACACAGAAGATACAAACTCTATATGGTCGTTCTACACAGAAGATACAAACTCTATATGGTCGTTCTACACAGAAGATACAAACTCTACTACCTACATATTATAATACCATAGTATTCTATAACCTGACTATATTCATAAGGTGGATTTTCTTCATCTTTTGATAGACAGAAGTCTATTTTAACTACCACCACCACCTTATATTTATGGGAGTTTGGACATCTTGAAACTTTACAGAAGTTATGAGAAAATAAACTGTTAGTTTGTTGCACTGCGTAGTTTTCTTTAAATACATACAATTAAGGTCGGATTCTGATGTGAAACCAGTTTTGTAAAGAATAACTTACCAAAAAGTACTAAATCTCTGAGTGATGTGGATTCTAGTGCATATCTTGCAATCTTGGGTGCATACATTTTTCTAACCTGTTGTGTAAAAACAGAAAATGTGAATAACAAATCTACATGGATACAGCGTAAACCTTACTAAAATGTTGTTGTAAATATTTATCCATACAATGAAATAGAAGAGATGCCTTAGAACAACAAATACAAATCATTAAACAGAGGGTTAAAAAATGTCACTGAATTAACACAGCGCCAAAAAACAGGTTCTCTCCGGTGCTGCCGAGTTAATACAGCACCAAAGGACAGGTTCTGTCTGGTGCTGCCTAGTTAACACGGCACCAAACTGCAGATTCTGTCCGGTGCTGCCGAGTTAACACGGCACCAAACTGCAGGTTCTATCTGGTGCTGCCAAGTTAACACGGCACCAAACTGCAGGTTCTATCTGGTGCTGCCAAGTTAACACGGCACCAAAGGGCAGATTCTGTCAGGTGCTGCCAAGTTAACACAGCACCAAACTGCAGATTCTGTCTGACAATACACTTAGTGACACGATATAGTATTTCATTTAAGGTAGAAACAGATCAGTTAAAAAGTTAATTAGATCATTTTTATTATGCTAAACTACCAATAAAACAAAAAACCTTTATTCTGTGTTCTTCAGTGCGCTGAAGTCGTCCCGAATGTATAGATTCTAGTTGTCGGAGGGAAGCAGTAAACTGCTCATGCGAGGACTTTAGCCGATCTTGGAATTGGGCACAGATGGAACGGGCAAGACGGGTTGCACCGAGACTGGCTAACATATCTGATGCCACTTTCCTTTTCCAATCAATATCAACTCTACGTGGTGTTTTCCATAACAGACTCTGAATCAACTACAGAAAATAATTTAAAAACGTAATTTGAAAATCACAATATAAGTTGAAACTTGGTAAAAGATTTGATTTAACTGCAAGATTTTAAAGATAATGAATTTAAAATATTTACAGCAAATATTTTAAATATAAAAATCAAAGAAAGAAACAAAGATATTTCAAAATTAAGTAAAAGCATGAGAGGGTGAATTAGAACATCTAAAAGAAATCAATATTACACAGATATAAGACTTCATATTACCTGCTTCATTTTCTCAAAAAGTGCCCAAAGGACTGAAGCACTTGTTTTAACTGTCAGCTCCACCTGCAAATAAAAACACAAACAAATACACAATTATGTTTTAGGCTTATACTTCCCTCCAAACAACTTCAGTCTAATGCAGTGCACATCCAACAGATCTAAGCTACAAAAAAACAGAGCACAAGGTGCCCATATTGAGAACTAAGTTATTATTCTGTAAAAAAAAACACATGTTGGCTAACTTGTGAAAGTCCTACCTGATATGCAGCATTAAGAATTTGTTTGAGAGCACTACTAGCTTGAACCGACTCTTCTCCTTCCTCACAGGCTGCTTCCAGACTTTTTAAACATCGTTCTAGTGTTCCTGTCAGATAACCCACAAATCAATAATGGTTATTAAGTTTATTGGAACACATCTCAAGTATTTAAACCACAATGAAAAAAAAAAATTCTGAAGTTTTTTGGACCACATCGCATCCTGACAATATGTCTTCTATAAATCAAATATTCTTAGCTATTGTCAGTAAACATTATCCACATTTGTAGCAATCAAATATCCTTAGCTATTGTCAGTAAATGTTATCCACATTTGTAGCAATCAAATATCCTTAGCTATTGTCAGTAATCATTATCCACATTTGTAGCAATCAAATATTCTTAGCTATTGTCAGTAAACATTATCCACATTTGTAGCAATCAAATATTCTTAGCTATTGTCAGTAAATGTTATCCACATTTGTAGCAATCAAATATTCTTAGCTATTGTCAGTAAATGTTATCCACATTTGTAGCAATCAAATATTCTTAGCTATTGTC